AACGTCGAGAACGCCTTCCCTTTTGAACTTGCTCGTCTTGATCGCCTGGTTCTGAAAGCGTTCCACGGCCCATATGGTTTCTTTATAAATGGATGTCGACACTCGTGCTTGTAACATATGCCCTCTTTACTGTAACTCAAACAGAGCACATACTCAAACAGAACACATACTGCTGTTCAAACACGCCACGAAACAAATAGGCGCCAGGCCCGTCTGCGTACACACTGAGGAACCAAAGAAATCTTGGTAAAAAGATTTTTTAGCTTCAAGAAGAGGATACCAGGCTCGAAATAAACAAAATCAAATAACTGTATATAAAGTCAGACTTACCAACATCCTCGGTTCCATGTGTTTCCGACGGTAGCAGCACTGCAGCTTGCTGGCGGTAGTTCTTGTGTGTGGTATTCACTCCTCTTAAATCTTGCCTAGATCCCGTTACAGCTCCCTTACCGTTTGCATAACCAAGGGTAGTGTAGGTCTTGTTATCGGGACCCACGGCTGCCTCCCCATCTGCCCAACGCACTATTCCAAATATTGGGTTTCCCAGCTTGGGATATGCACCGATTCTAAAGACATGGGAGTGGTCAGCGGTTACTGTTATCAGCGTTTCATCTAAAAGTTAAAATATCAAGTTCCTGGCAAAGTATTAGAAACGGAAGGATCCTCAAGAGTAAATTGCATTGAAAGAAACTGCAGAAAAGAATGGACTTAAAAATTCAGACTGTGACGGATTAAGAGATTCAGATTTATTTTTATTTACTTTTTAATTGATTTATCTCAAAAAATCTAGTGGACATAATCATCAAGTCTATTCCATTACCTCGATGTGTCATTTTTAAAGCCTTAGATACAGCTTTATATATGGCTATTGTTTCCATTCATGATCGATACGTCCTCCTACAAAGCATAATATTGCTCATTATTTTTTTGCCCAACTTCGTTTTAAACTTTTGGCTAAATTTTTCGTTACAAGTTTCATACATGAAGTAAACAGTAAGTTAGCAAACGAACCGACCCGCGTTATCAATACTGTCGCACGAGGGTTGTGCTTCGTCGGGGGGCTGAGCAACGTGAGCCAGCGAGAGGTCTGCGAAGGGTTTTCGTGCCAGACCCCCAGCAAGCCTCCTCCCGACTCGTGTCAAATCCTCTCACGGGCGTAGGAACGCACGTCCTTTAGCGTTGGCAGACTAACAGTATTAGTCATCGTAGAAACTAGTTCACTTTAGAGAACAAGCTCGAAAAAGGTTAAAATATAAAACGTGGTACCTTCAACTAACAAGAAGTATCCTTTGGGAGTTTTCTCCAGAATTTTGATGGCTTTTGCTATCATATCTGCTATTGATGGTTCACCAGCGGCATCCCGTGCTCGATCAATCTCAAACCGCATATGAGAATATTCAAGTAGTCCTGTAACAAATTAGTATAATATTGACTCTACAGTCAAAACTTATTACCGAATACTCAGCTTACCAACTAACATTAATCTTATAGCAAAAAGATTGTAAAGGTCCTCTACTCAGGGCAGTAGAGCTGTGTTCTCAGAGATTTAAGGATTTTGAAAGTATTCACAATGGCCAATAAGAACAAAGGAAAATACCTTTAAGAGCCAATGAGAACTTGAGGAAAAAAAACACTACCTAAAGCGCGGGAAAATGTGGGCGACCAAGTCGCGACTGGTTTAGCTTTGCTTCTGATTGGTTAAAAGAGTGGGGCGAGTTTTTTTAACCAATCACCGCGCAGAGTAAAGCAAAACGAATGTAATCCTTAATTTCTTTTGACGCTCGATTGAAAATTGCTCCATGTGCATAGCATTTAAAGTGCATCTAAACCCAAAATTTTTTTTTCGCTTAACGAAATAAGCTTATTTTTTGTAGTATTTCTGTGCAAAAATTTGTTAATTTTCTCAAATCTTTAATTTTCTATGCCCAGTCAAAATACGGAAAATCGGCCATCTTGCCCCACGACCGAGTTTAAAGAAGAATGGCTCTAGCGGGTAATGTGACGTCAAATCGAGAACACGAAAGTCTGCATCTCACACATTTTCACTTGTTTGGGAAGACTGTCGTCGATATTGTCCGAAATATGCCGGCTAGATGTGTTGTATGAAGATTGTATGAAGCGCGATACCCTCTTGCAAATTTCGCACGTTGCTACATCCTTCTACAACACACTTAGTCGGCATATTTTCGGACAATTATCGACTACAACCTTCCCAAACAAGTGAAAATGTGTGAAAAGCAGACTTTCGTGTTCTCGATTTGACGTCACATTACCCACTAGAGCCATTCCTCTTTAAACTCGGTCGTGGGGCAAGATGGCGGCCGATTTTCCGTATTTTGACTGGGCATAGAAAATTGAAGATTTGAGCAAATAAAAAAATTTTTGCGCAGAAATACTCAAAAAAATAAGCTTACTTCGTTAAGCGAAAAAAATTTTTTGGGTGTAGGTGCACTTTAACTAA